AATACTCGTAGGTACTTGATGTGATAAAGTTTTGATAACGTTCTAAAATTAAAAAAAAAATAATAATTACTAGTCATAACTTTTCTAAATTTTATATCGATTGCTTTTCTATATATATATGTACGTATGTATGTAAGTGAAAAGTTTTGTGAAATAAGTGGAGTACTTAAAATTTAAGTACCCATCAATTAACTATTAACAAAAGTAATTTAGAGGAGTGAGTCTAGAAGTAGTAAGTAGTGGTAAATTGTACGCATGTGCAAAATAATTTGTTGATAAGACACGTCTGAGTACGGCAAATTCTTCAAACAATTGCGAAATAATGTAGTCGGAAGTATTGTGAAATCGAATTGAAATTGTGTAATTGAAATATTGTGTGGCGGAGTTTTGGAAACACTTACTGTTTATATGTAAAAAAATCGAACTTCCCTAGAAGTGGTTTTGTAATTTAATTCATTTTTTTTTATTTGATAAAATAATTCAATAAGATATGAATAAACTTAGACAACAAATCAAAAGAATTCCAATCAGATTAAGGCCATTAAAATATGTTTTTTATACTTTTTTTTAATAATTGAGTTATTGAGCTTTGTATCACGATTTGTTTGTTAGGAAAAATGGGAATAGCAACAAAGTCCAAGGAGTAAAATTAATAGCTGCTATTTCGGAGATCACCACATCTCCGCATCAGATTTCGTTATTTTTTATTCTTTAAAATTTGCTTTGAAACAAGGCAATAGAAATATTTGTCTAATAAATTATTAAATACGTTTTCGTTCTTTATACATTAACTTCGATTTTTACGAAATTGGTAGCCGGCACTAAATATTTGGATTTTTCAAAATTGGTAACCGTTACAAAAAAGTTGAAAGTATAAATATGGGCGCTAACCCCTCCGCTTTTCTCAAAATTGGGAACTGTTAATAAAAATCCGAATTTTTGGAAATTGTTTACCGGTACAAAAACGATCTAATTTTTAAAATCACCGGTATTTATTGTAGAAGTAAAGTTTCAAAAAAATTTTCGACATTTGTCCATTTGTGTGTCAGTGTCGATAACATTGATGCGACAATTATGAATACATAGTTTTATTGAATTAAAAATATTAGCTGTCAAGTTGAGAGATAGAACATTTTCTAATTTTCATTAAAATCATTTTCTGAAGAAAAATATATCGATACTTGAGTGGAAGATCGACCTATCTCGGCAGCCAGATTGAAAGCGCCTTATCCCAGAAAACTTATCAATAACTCCCTACTTCTGAACTTGATTCAAGAAAAACTCCCTATCTCAGAATTTTGTGTGAATACGATTCTAATCATCATACCCATACATTTTACGGGAAGGCAATACGCTGTGATAGTAGCCCTAAGACTGCAGGATCTTAGAAGCTGGAAAGCGGCTCTTATCAACCGACAACCATTTACCGAGCACAATGGACTATTGTGTACCAATGCTCACGTTCACTAAAGGTTATAGCGTAACTTTACCTAGCAGAGAATCGTGGATCGAAGGAGTTCCGGGATCTCAAGATGCCATAAGATTCTATACGGACGGCTCCAAACTAGAAAACAGGGTAGGAGCCACTGTGACGTCTTTCAAGCCAAACTGGCAGCCATACAAGAAGCCGTTGACAACCTAAAGGTAGCTGTTATGGCCAGTAATAAAAGATATATATACCCAGACAGTCAGGCGGCCCTTATGGCACTTTGCGCTATCACCATTAATTCGGAAACAGTTGCCAACTGTCGCAAATCACTTAGCGTGATGGCAGAGCAGTTGGTATGGGTACAGGGGCGCAGTGACATACCAGGAAATGAGGAGGCAGACGAGCTTGCAAGGGGGGTACTTCCTCTCCACTTTTTCCATCCTGGAAGAGGATGGGTATGCGACTCGCTTCCTGCAAGCTCTTATTAAGAGAACACTTGCTTGAAAAAGCAGCCCCACCAGATGGGAGCGTACTGAAAACAGTAATTCAAGGAAGCTAACATGGTCAAAATGGAATATATGGAGATCGAGAGAAAGTCTCACTCTCAATGGCCTAAGTGTTTTGGCGTCCTCTGGGCCTGGCAGCCACTTCAACCTAGCCTAGTTCTCTACTATACAGAGTGTTCTACACCACCCCTCAACCCCCGTCTAAAATGTAGGGAAATATTTTTTATGACCTACCAAATCAGCTCTATGTATTTTATCCGCAGAACGCAAAACTGTGGTAAAAGCATGTATATCTCATTTAAAAAATGAACTTCCGGTCATTTAAATCTTCTTGCGGTCGAAACCGGGAGTCGGCAATAAGACCAAGATATAGAGCATCCTCCTCTTAGTAATTCATATTTTTTTGTTTTTCAAAAAAACATTTTCACTCATTTCAGAAGTCCAGGACAAGTTTAAGTTCGAAGGTCATTTAAAGGGTTAAACGCCCACTTCCCACAAAAAAGTTTTAAACAAAAACAAAAAACTTTTTTCCTCAGAATCAGAATCTGTAGTAAAACAAAAGTTTAAACCACCTCCGGTCGGAACTGGAAGTCGGTAATACCAGCAAAAGATACTTCATCCCCGGTTGGGTAGGTCATATTTTTGCGTTTTTTTTCAATCAAAAAAAAACCTTTCTTTGGGTTGTCTTTTCTGGCGGTATATAATTTATTTTATAGGAAAATTTGGGCTAAATTATTTTTAGTGCATAAATTACCTTCACTGCACTGTGCCCCGGCCCCAAATATGTACCTCAATTCCGGTACTTCCTTAGTAAATGAACGATCTTTGTAGAAATATCTATATGTTGGTTATATGCTTCGGATATACCAACCTAATGCTCTGCTTCGATCATCCTACGGCTCATAACCCCATTTTCTCCTTTCGTCTGCGCCTGGCTATGAATATGAAATGGGTTATGATTTAGATTCTTGAAGAACTCTCAATAATAGTTTTGGACAAGATCTCTTCGCTTTTGTATCTTAGTGAGTGCCTTTATGAAGATTGCTCTAAAAGTTATCATAGGTCGCACTATCGCCGTATAGACTAATCTTAGTACTTTTGGAGAGCAACCACAAATTTTTCCTCCTATGAACCTAGATACATCATCAATGTTCTTACAGCCATGTGTGTTTTCTAGGGTAATTTTTGGCACATCCTTTTTTTGGAGGAACCCAACGAATTACTTAAGTATATAGTTGTTTATAAATGCACCAACTGTAAATACGTTGAATTGTATATAAGAATCTTCATATGTGCGATATGTAATTAGTAGGTACATGCATGAGTAAGCAAAAACTCGCTTAAGCCGCCCACCAAATCCATCATTTGGTTCTGTATGTTTTTATGAAATTCTTATCGAAGTTATATAAACATGAAGGAACACCTAGAGCTATCTTTAGTATTTATTAACTATGTAAGTTTATATGCCCAGTAATTGACCATAAACATTTAGTGCATTTTATTGGCGGGTGGTGTTTGCTCTTCATACAGCAGAACACAACCCAGACTTTATATGTAGCATTTTCAAAGTGCATAAATAAACAGCAAATGGTTTTAAAGCGCATCTACATATTTGTTTTTCAAATCAAATAGCGTGTTTATGAATAGATCTGCGCAAATAATAATGCAGCACAATTGTTGTTTGACAGATAAATGTCACTAAATGTGTATAAATGATCTATTTTTTATTGTTCTTATATTACTTTGTATGTACATATGTATGTAGGTAAGTATAAATGTACAAATGTATACCTACACCGGGATGCGAGAGCATTACTTCGAAATTCGTTATCACCGAGTTCAAGCAATTAAGAAATTATTTACACTTCACAAGTTTACAATTGATATACTACGTGTCTGTCCAAAAGCAAGCTTACACAGATACAGAGAGATAGACATACAAATGTACATACATACCGACATACATACATATGTATGTATGTTAGGGTACTGGAAAGAATAAGCATACCCAGTTGGAAACCTACGCCTAGAGTTGCCAATTGACAGAAAAACCATTGATATTTTCGATGTCGATATATCAGATTACAAAAAATCGATGTCGACTTTAATTGTTCATCTGTAATTTTATAATGTCAAAAATTAATTCGCAAACTTTCGATGTTAAGAACATCGATGCATCGATATTTAAGCGTTAAAAACATAGGTTAAAACATCGATGTTTTTTTTTTTGCCGATACATCGATGTATCGTTAGCATCCCTACCTACGCCTGATTTCGTATAAGCCAAAAGCAGCTGGCATTTCCAAAAAGTCATCAATGACTTTTTCAAGCAAGTGTGAGTTTTGCCAATTCTTCTCTTCAGACATGGCGTCCAGCATGATAGCTCAGTTATGCATACTTTGCACTGCACTGCATAGAATGCCATTCTTACTTAGGAAATCAAAAACCAACAGACTTCTGCAAATGTAATGCTGTGCGCTGGGTAACCGCTTACAAGCTTTCTTATTTGACTTTCTCTCATGCAATGCCAAGTATGCATAACTGAACCATGATGACACCCATTGACTATGCAATGCAGACTGGGTTTCTCCCTTTTCTATTCTACTTAATGTCTTCCTCTTTGACTCGTACTCTTTTGCGAACGCTGGCTTTTAGTGACTACCATTTCCAAGCAGGTATTTTTGATAGTCAATTCAAGTAAAACGGTATCAACGACTTCATTGATGACATTTTCATCAGTCAACTATTTTCCAACAGGGTATACACATACATATATATATATATTCATACATACATGTATATAACATTAGTAGATAGCCCATTTATCATACTTAAAAATCTTCGCAACACTTCCCTATCACTTCTCAATTTGACGAAGCAGCGCAAGAATAAAATTCTTAATAAAAAATAATATTATTTAATTGTTTACTTATCTCGCATATTGCTCAAAATAGAATTAAAGAAATACTGGTTCCTCGTTAATTTTTTGTTTTTGATTTCAGTTTCATTTAAAAACCAAATACTACGGGTACTAGAATACTCTGAGGCTAGGCAATTGTCCAACCATGGTTAATGGTAGCTACAATGTTGCAATGCAAGGCCGCCCAGAGCCAGCTGATAATTTCCAGAAATCGGATACTCTACCAGGACCAAAAGACTTTGAGGCTAAAACACAGAAGTAAGCTAAATTTTTTACAAACACGACCACATACACATAGTTCCATATTTCTAATATGTAATTATTTGTGTATTTTCAGCGGCACGAGCGATTCACAAATAATATACCCATATTTGGAGCTGGTGAGTATTCTGTCTAAAAAGAAACTATGAAGCGAAATAAAAATGTTAAGGAATTTTTTTTTAATTTTTCATTGGGCATTGATGTCAACGTAAAAGAGGTACAGTAGGTGCTTTCACCTATCCAGTCCAGTAAGGTTTATTCAGCAGCGAAATTCCTGAGAATTTTGAAGATTTTCTCTCATCGAGAGACGCTTGCAAATGTTTACATGAACGTAAATTTGCAGAAACTTGCAATTTTCACTGCCAGCTGGGGTCAATGGTTGCATTTCAAACTTGAAAAATGTTTACAGAACATTTAAAATTCTTTCGGGTGGACAAAAAAGTAGGATCTATGTGTATAAATATTTCCTCGTATTCTGACCTTCGTGAACATACGCTTCACTTTTTTCGTCATAGTAACTAACGGGTTTCATATATCGATTATGATTGCAACTGCACTCCAATTACGAGTACAGCCTTTTAACCTACTTGGGTTATCTGATTTTGTGATTATATTTGTTACACCGATAAAAAGCATATATTTAATAGGTTGAGCCAGGGGCGAACCCAGGTAGGGGTTTTGGGGGTCCCAGCCGCTCCCCTGGGTACCCTTTCTTACGAAACTCGTCAGCCAGGCAGTTTCCCTTATTGTCATAGCGACAATACATATTTTGACGTAGAATACGTCTTACGTTTCGATATGGAGGCTATGCTCAAATGTTTTATGAAGTTGTAATTTTTAGAGCTTTGCGAAAACGCTTATTGCATGAGAACTAATAAAGCGATTTGAAAGAAACGTGTGGCGTTTGAAAGATATAATTCCAAACCTAACGACACATTCATTTTTGTAAGTAACCAATTCGGTTTTTGTCGTAGAATTAACGGTAAATATTGGCTTATTTCGGGGTCAATTTTGAGCCTTGGGGGTTCTAGCAACTTACGATTTGCAGGTTAAACTTTCATTTTCGGGATATAGGTTCTTTGGAGCAATAGAAATATTATCGTGTATTATCGTATATTGAGCATTTTAATGCATTCCATACAAAATCACTTCCTCATCACTTTAAAAAACGTCCATGAGCTGGAAGTGGGGGAAGGAGACAAAAAGTGTGTGTGTGTGTGTGTGTGTGTAGGTATTTCGGCTTTTGAATAACAGATGGCGCAATATTTATAAAAAGCAAAGGTGAATGGGAATATGTAGATGAAGAATATGAAAGACATTAAAGTAAAAACAATGATAAATATAAAGAAAAATATGAGGATGAGGATACCGATAAAAGTAGAGAGGAAGATAGAGAATGAAAGATTAAAATAAAGGTAATTATAGGGAAAAGGATATAGACAGAGACTCAATCTGGGGACTATTTCCGGATTTTTGAGATTTTCGGAATTCTCGGGACTCATCGATATAATAATCGATATTTTGTCGGTTTTGTTATCGATATTTTTTATTGATTTTGGTATCGAAATTTTTATCGATATTTTTATTGAATTTGCTATCGATATTTTCGAAACTTATCGATATAATAAACGATATTTTTTATCGATTTTAATCGATTTTGTAATCGCTAAGGAAGGCAGGATTTAGAGTTTAGGATTCCGCTTAAATATTTATGCATGTATTTTAAAAGGAATTTACTGAGGACAGTGGCGGATCCAGCGGGGGGTTTTGGGGGTTAAACTACGTGTCAGTCAGTGGCCGACCCATGGGCGGTGTTTTAATATGGCGCATATGTATGTATAATATGGCGTCTATGTATTAAAACACCTACCGTGGGTCCGCCACTGACTGACACGTAGTTTAACCCCGAAAACCCCCCGCTGGATCCGCCACTGGCTGAGGATTTTCATTTTCATCCAGCGTTTTAATAGATTTCCCTGCAGAAAAAGGATAAACAACATGTACAGGAGGAAACTTATTTTCTTTCCTGCTCACCGGATAGTTCCCTATATCTATTTACATACTATGTACATACATATATGTATTCCTTTACACTTATTTTTTTTTCAGTTTCGCTATGCGACATTATGGGATCGTTTGCTTGTAGTTTTTGGTGCTGTTGTGGCATCTCTAGCTGCACTTAGTTCACCATACAATATAATCATCTACGCCGAGCTAACAACGCTGCTCATAGATCGCAACGTTGGCAATGGCACGTCTACACCAGCACCGATTTTGAGTGCCTTCGGCGGCGGTAGGAAGCTGTAAGTGGAAAGGCTATCGTTTTTAACATAAATACAAATGTCGCTAATATTATTTATTTGTTTTGCTAATTTAGTACGAATGCGAGTCATGCGGAGAATATGCTAGCAATCAAGGAGGATGCGTTGGCTTATGGATTAGCTACGCTCGTTGGGTGTGTAGTGGAGTTGATACTTTTGGCGCTGGCGGTCGATATGCTCAATAAAGTTGCACTTAGACAGGTTTGTACAACATTGGTAAATCTGTGAAAAGAAATTTGAATAGCATAAAATTCGTATATATATTTTTTTTAATGCAGATAGCGAAAATTCGAAAACTTTTCTTGGAATCCATTTTACGTCAGGATATGTCTTGGTATGACACGTCTTCCGGCAATACGTTCGCCAATAAGATGACTGAGTATGTTTGACACACCACTCACACAGCAGATTTTCAATAATTTTTTTTTTCCTAAATATAGAGACTTGGATAAAATGAAAGAGGGAATCGGCGAAAAAGTCGCAATATTCGTTTTCCTCATTATGACCTTCGTAACAGGAATTATTTTCTCTTTCGTCTATGGTTGGCTTTTAACATTGGTGGTACTCACCTGTTGTCCGTTTATTATCATTTCTACTGCCTATGTTGCAAAAATCCAAAGCACATTCACACAAAAGGAATTGAAAGCTTACTCAAATGCCGGTGCGGTCGCCGAGGAGGTCTTCTCGGGCATACGAACCGTCTTCGCATTTAGTGGTGAACGCAAGGAGACTGAACGTTTCGCCAAGTTGTTGGTGCCTGCTGATGTGATGGGACGCAAGAAGGGACTATACTCCGGTATTGGCGCCGGCCTTATGTGGTTCATTATTTATATCGCCTATGCAGTAGCTATTTGGTACGGCATACAACTGATATTGAAGTATCGATATGAGGACGAAAAGCTGTACACTGCTGGCTCATTGGTCATAGTGCTCTTCAGCATAATAATGGGCGCACAGAATTTGGGTTTCTCGCTGCCGCATGTAGAATCGTTCGCAACGGCACAAGGCGCTGCACAGAATGTCTTTTCCACCATTGATCGTGCATCGGAAATTGATCCGTTGAATGAGAGCGGCGCCAAGTTGGAAAAAGTTGTGGGGAACATAAATTTTGAGAACTTACATTTCAATTATCCGGCGCGGCCTGATGTACAGGTGCTCAAGGGCTTCTCATTGCAAGTGCCAGCAGGTCAAACGGTTGCGTTGGTTGGTCCTTCTGGCTGTGGCAAGTCAACAACACTCCAACTATTGCAGCGCTTCTACGATGCACCCACCGGCTGTGTGCGTTTGGATGGTCGCGATCTACGCGAACTCAATGTTGGCTGGCTGCGCTCACAGATTGGTGTTGTCGGGCAGGAACCAGTGCTGTTTGCCACAACCATACGCGAAAATATACTTCACGGTAAACCCACTGCAACGCAAGAGGAAATCGAGCAGGCCGCGCGCATGGCTAATTGCCACGACTTCATAGTGAAGCTGCCAAACGGTTACGACACTATGGTCGGTGAACGTGGCGCACAGATGTCCGGTGGCCAGAAGCAACGCATAGCCATTGCACGTGCACTCATACGTAACCCGAAGATACTGCTCTTGGATGAAGCGACTTCGGCTTTAGATCCCACATCTGAGCGCCGAGTGCAAGACGCACTCGATGTAGCGAGCCAAGGACGCACCACGCTGGTGGTTTCACATCGACTCTCAACAGTGACAAATGCCGACTTGATAGTGTTCGTAAAGGATGGTGTTGTAGCCGAGCAGGGTACGCATGAGGAACTAATGCGCGCGGAAGGGCTGTACTGCAAGCTGGTGATGATCTCCAAGCGCAAAGAAGAGGAAGAGGCATTGGCGAACACCTCGAATGCTGTGCGCCAGCGTAAACAACAATTGGCTGTGCCAGATGATTCAGACGACGAGGGTGACTCAAGCTTTGATGAAGCAGATGCCGACAGTGTGGTAAGCCGAAGTAAGTGGCACTATAACGATTCGTGCGAGCGACGAAATACCCACTAATTTTAATATTCTTTCCACAGAGAAGACGAAAAGGAAGACGATTAAAGCCGAGAAACACAAAATCACTTTTGCACAGCTGATGAAAATGAATGCGCCTGAGTGGCGCTACATTCTGGTCGGCTGCATAGCGGCCATGCTGCACGGTGCTACATTCCCCGTATGGGCGGTGCTCTTTGGTGACTTCTTTGGCGTAAGTCGGGCTGATATTGACTACCACAAATTCAAATTTTTAAGTCTTCTATGTTCCACTTTTAGATCTTATCCGATCCGGATGATGACTATATCACCAAACAATCGATTTTATTTGCTATTCTGTTCATCGTTATCGGTATAATTGCTGGCATTGGCTCACTTCTACAAACTTACATGTTCAGCACTGCGGGCGTGAAAATGACATCTCGCCTGCGCCAAGATGCTTTCAAGGCGATAATCGGCCAGGAAGTCGGCTACTTTGATGACGAACGTAATTCAGTGGGCGCACTGTGTGCTCGCCTTGCTGGCGATTGCTCGAACGTACAGGGTGCAACAGGTTCACGCATCGGTATTATTGTGCAAGCGATTTCCACGCTCGCCGTCGGCATGGTACTCTCATTTACCTACTCGTGGAATTTGACTTTGGTCACTTTGGTGATGGTGCCGTTTGTGTGCGCATCCATACTCTTCGAAGCCCGCTTCATGGAGGCAAGTACGCAGGCGGAGAGGTTGGCCATTGAAGACGCGTCACGTGTAGCAGTGGAGGCAATTGCCAATATACGCACGGTGGCTAGTTTGGGACAGGAGCGCGCTGTGCTTGCGCGTTATTGCGAACAAGTAGATAAAGCGGATGAGGCATGTCGCAACAAGGTGCGCTTTCGTGGTGTGGTTTATGGCTTGGGACAGACGGCACCCTTCTTGGCCTATGGTGTTTCGCTGTATTATGGTGGTTACTTAGTAGCCAATGAGGGATTACCTTATGAAACTATTGTAAAGTAAGAAAAATTCCCAATGAATTGATAGCTGTTGACTTTGCTAGATAACACTCTCTACTTTAGGGTTTCCGAAGGTCTCATATTCGGCTCGTGGATGCTTGGCCAGGCGTTATCGTATGCGCCAAATGTAAGCGCTGCCGTACTCTCAGCGGGACGTCTACTGAAACTGTTCCAGCGTGTGCCCGCTATATACAATCCAGCTGACAAACCTTATAACACACCAGTGGTGAGTATTCCTTCAGCCAATGGGGTTTCGCTAACTAACGAGCAACGTTTTCCGTTCACATTTAAGAAATCCGAAGGTGACATTACCTACGAAGACGTCGATTTTCACTATCCTAACCGCAAAGGCATACCCATTCTACAGAATCTTAATTTAACCATCAAAGGTGGCACTACTGTAGCCTTAGTAGGACCTTCCGGTTCCGGCAAATCCACTTGCGTGCAGCTACTTTTGCGCTACTACGATCCCGTTAGGGGTAAAGTCAATCTCAGCGGTGTGCCAACTACAGAGTTCTCACTCGATATGCTGCGCTGCAGTATGGGCCTAGTCTCACAAGAACCTGTTTTATTCGACCGCTCGATTGCCGAGAACATCGCATACGGCAACAACTTCCGCGATGATATTCCAATGGCGGAAATAATTGAAGCGGCCAAGAAATCAAACATTCATCAGTTCATCGCCTCTCTGCCGCACGGCTATAATACTCGCCTGGGTAGCAAAGGCGCACAACTCTCGGGTGGACAAAAGCAACGCATTGCCATTGCACGTGCAATGGTACGCAATCCCAATATACTGATATTGGATGAGGCTACATCGGCATTGGATATGGAAAGCGAGAAAGTGGTGCAGGAGGCATTGGATGTAGCACGCAGCGGTCGTACTTGTCTCACAATAGCACATCGGCTGACCACAGTGCGCGATGCCGATCTGATTTGTGTGCTGAAGAAAGGTGTGGTGGTTGAGAAGGGCACTCATGAGGAGTTGATGGCGCTGAATGGCATATATGCGGAACTGTATATGATGCAGCAGGTCGCCTAAGCCGGTCAAGTTTTCGTTTCTCTTGTTACATATTTATAGGGTGTACATATATGTATCAGTAGATAAATTTTTAAATCGAATTTAAACATTAACTTATTGTAATAATAAATGTTTAACTATTTAATTAACTTAGATCCTAGCTGTGTGTACAACTTTAAATAAGGCTCAAAGTCGGCTGTCCGTCATTGCACCAGGATTGGCGAGCGCATTCTTACGTTCCTGTATGGCGCAAGTAAGTTTGCGAAATGGGCCCAGGGGCAGTGCTAGGGACTTCAAGTCCGCCTCTGTTAGCAGTATCAAAGTATCCAAATCGATTTGTTGCTTCTGGAAGCTGAAAAAGCAAAAATATGAACTACACTTCTAAGCCCTTTTCGTAAGCTTTTCAAACACTTACACAGCCAAATACTCATCCAGGCCCCAGGCGGTGAGAAAGCGCGCTATTGGCGTCCCTGCATTTTCCTGCTCATCATCACTGTACCCATCTGCGCCTTCCGAATCTGAATCAGATATATTGAGGAAAGACCTTTGTTTATTGTTACGCGCTTTCGCCGCTGTTGTTGTCGCGCTTTGTCGGCCGGTTACCGTTCCGGCACCTGTAATGCCTGCTGTTTCCATGTCTGGTTGCAGTTGACTCAGCGCTGCTGTCACCGAACGTCGAAATGCTATGCTACCCAACATTGGACGATCGAAAAGTCCCGCTGGGCGTTGCATTGCGAACTCTTCACCAAGTCGGCCAGTGGATGTACGCGAATCGCCTAGTATGTCTGGTTGTGAGAAAGAACGCGAGAGCGCACCATACCCTAGCTTGATGGTTTCACGTTCTCGATCGCTGCTCGGCTCGTCGACTTCGAAAACATCACTGATTTTGCCGCGCTTGCTACTCTCTTCGTTCGAGCTGAATGTACCCACATATAAAACCTCCGAGTCGCGCTGTACGCCCACGAGAGAGGTTACAGTGCGTTTGCCGTCCGGCTCGATGCCACCGATCTTAAATCCGGTCTCTTCGCCTTTATTGGAGTGCTGCTGTAATAGGTGTTGACCGCGCAACTTCTTCTGTACAGTGCCAGCGCGACTCGCAATCGAACCCATGCTGCCGCCACTGCCACTGCCTGGTGATACGAGCTCGCTGAATTTGGTGGCTGTGCTGCCGCTGCTGATGCTGGGACATGGCGCTGCAGCAGGCGCCGTTTCCCTTGAAGGTTTGTGCAGATTGCCCTGGCTTGACCAAATCTTTTGTTTCAGTGTTGACAGCATATTCGACTTATTGGTATTGAGTGTGGCAGCCATTGCTTTGTTGCTCACATCGACTTGCTCGCTTTCAAGCTTCTGTTGGCGTTTCATGTACTCGCGCATGCGTTTCTCACAATTTTTTTCTGCCACTTCACGCATAGCTTTTGCCTTTTTTCTGTTGTGAAAATTGGGAAAATTAGATATGTTTTTAAGTATATGTATGTATGTATGTAAGTATGTAGGTGGGAGTATGCCCAAGTAAAAATTCTTACTTCTCATTAGTCTCGAAATTCGCTGTGGCGCTATCCAAATAGCGCAAAATGTCATCGCGATTATTAATGGCAGCCAAATCTTTGGCACTGTGCCGATCAATGTCCAGTGCATAGATATTCACGCCGAATTTTACAAGGAAATCGACGCAGTGTAGGTGACCCTTGGCTGAGGCCAAGTGCAGCGCGGTATTGCCGAATTGGTCACATTTGTCTGGATCGCCACTGTAATAAGCAAGAGATATTTGCATGAAATTATCAAATTGTCATCATATTGGTATGTACATACATATATTGTAATATAGTAGGGATCAGTGTAAGTCTAAGTATATTACCCTCTTCCACAGAGCAAGCGCAATGCATCTAAACGTCCCTCGAAAGCAGCCCAGAGTACAGGTGTCATGGAGTCGTCATCTTTGGCATTGGCGTCCTTGCGTGAGGCCTCCTTTAGCACATCGAGTAGGCCATCTTTTGCGGCTCTGGAAATGAAGAAAAATATAGGAACCATTGTAGAAAAAATCCAATAATTTGCATAGTACAAACAGTTATTTATTGAAAACTGTAACTAATTTTATACTTCGGCAGTTGTTTTGAAGTTCAAAATAAGATTCTAGAGAGTAATCTACCGACTTTCGCACCAAACTGAATTATGTTGAAAATGAGTTGGGGCCTTTCAATATTAAGGTAAAGACATGTAAGTTGGAAAATTTGAAAGAATGCAATCAGGTTTTTCGATTTTTCAGAGGAGTGCACATATATTTTTCGAAGCTTCCACAGACCAACTCCAAACCCCGCCTACAAGCGGCAAAAAAAATTATTTTTAGAAAAAGCACTTAAAGAAAAATAATAATAATAAAATTTGAAAAAAAAACGAGTTTAAGGAAAAATAAAAAATTTTGTTCTTATCTTTTCATTAAGTAAAATAAGGTTTTTTGTCGACTTCAAAACAGGAAGGGGTTCTCATTTCGTAGTGTGTTTTTTCAATTGTAGGCTAAGAGTCACGAAAGCATTCTTTTAAATTTGAGAGATTATGTTGACTTAAATAGCTTCGTTCGAATGCGGCTTATTGGCAAAGACCTGCGACATCAAAAAAAAAAAACAAACAAGGAAGAGCAGCGCTGTCTTCGGCTATTTTACTTCAACAGATTACTTCATTTGAAAAAAAATTGTATATTCACTGCATATATACTATAGATATTGGAGTTACACACTATATAAAAAATCATATCTAAACAGGTGCCTACATAAAGTAGTAGGTAAAGGAGATAAAGCTTATATAGCACCGATTTTTATGAATTACTCAGTAGACTTTGTATGATTATTTAGAAATTAGCTCACGAAATTTCACGGTTTTAGCTGTTAAAGTAAAGCTTTTACAGTAAAACCCCATATATGAACAATCAGTTGTATGGTAATTGGTTATCTTTGTCACTTTTATTGTAAACTTTCTGTTCATAATGTGTGAAAATAGTGCGTAATTTCATGTTCCTAGTTGTATAAATGGATAAGTTATAACAAAAAATCTGATATCTGAACAATCAGTTGTTCCGACAAATTAATAATAAATTTAAAAAAGACACTATATGCAAATGCAAAATATGCCATTATGAGCCATGAGACAGTACGATATTCTTAAAACAACGCGCAATCGACAAATCTGTTTCTTAAGCCACACTTGGGTTTGAAATCTTCACCAAGCGCCTCTGTTTTTGTGACTTTTCGCGTTCACGTAAAAAAAAAATTATAGCTGAACGCAAAATTTGCTAAAACTTGCAGCCTTCGAAACACGTTTTGGAATCGAAAAACCTTTTTAAAATACAAATTAATTATATCGGAAGGAATGAAATATTTTTCTCAAAAAAAAAAGAGAATATCCTCCAAACACCCATCCTTGATCAAAATAAAACGGTTGATATCTACATATGTACACACATTTATGTAGATGCTACAAATGTACATTTAAAATTGTCTGGATTCCCGACCATAAGAATATAGAAGGTAACGCGAGAGCAGACGTATTGGCTAAGGCGGCAGCTTGTCTAGATGAATCGGTAGCGATGGTACTGTGTTATTCCCACAGATAAATATAAACATAAATCCACTTGAACTTTCGGGAACTATCTGGCAAGGAGGAGGTAATCAGAGATCCAGACTTGCAAGATATCACCTGAGCTTTGGCCTGACTTGAGCAGGAAAAGAACAGCAAAGTTGCTAAGAAGGTCAAGACTAGTACATAGTACGAGTATGATTGTAGCATGCTAGTAGATTAGGACTTTCAAGCAACAGAATATGCCGCAGCGTGTAAAGAATATTTAGTTTCCTGTGCGAATGCCCAGGTCTGATTTTCAAAATATATAAAACGTTCGGGAAGCATTTAGCGGATTTATCTAGTGCTAATATATGTATGCGATATGCACAAATTCCTGAACGGTCCAGAATGATTTGATTAAACTGAATAAATGATGGCGCTATACAACCAACCAACGAATAACAAATATGAGCCAGTGTTTTGTGGACACTTTTTAATGCATTTATGCAGCCCTCTACTCCATACATATAAAAGACTAAAGCAACAAACTTGGCCAGTAAATATTCGTAGAAAAATTTTGTATGTAGTTTGTAAAATTTCTATTCAGATCTTATCTGTCGAATGTAGAACTAGTTGGGAGCTATCAAAAAAGAGATTCAGCGTGGGGGGCTTGTTTACTGTACATGGATATGTGTTTGGCGGCTTTTTCGTTCAAATACGCTTTAATTCTGTACTTCGCAGATGCCTTTCCATAGCTTGGTAAAACAAAACAAAAATGTGTGTTAACATTTTAACATCTTGGGATCTTATAGAATCTAACCAATAACAGCAAGTACCTCTGGAAACTCAGCTACAGCCAAAGGTATGTAAACGTACATTTCTTAAAATCATTAAAAAAAAAATTTATTTCAAATTTAAAGCACATTTCTTTGAAAATAATTAAAAATCGCACACACCGAAGAACCAAAAAAGATTGAAAATCATGATACTTTTTCTTTCGTCTGTCGATTTTAGAAGTAGGGGGCAATTGACACTTTCTAAGACATCGCCATGTTAAATTCGCCAGTTGTTTGCATGCAATAGATATTTATCGCGAACCAGTACTGAGTCTAAATGTACTAGAAGCGCACCAGTTCCGAACTAGAGATTTTCCCCTCAGGGCTACTACACTGATTTCAATGAAATTTTAGATTATTACAGGGAAGAACACATAGAATGTTTACATTTTATTGTAATGGCTAAATTAATAGGAACATATAGGAGTCCTATATTAGGACATTATTTCTATATGTATATCAATATATATAGTATGTAAAAGTGTTAAGTTCGTTTGTTCGCCAAGCAAAAACTCGAAAACGGCTTTACCGATTTGAAATTCTTTATTTTGTTCGCCATAATTCCCGGCTGGTTTGAAAATAAAAAATCTTAGAGTTGCCACCAGTTTAAAAATTTTAGTTTGAGGAGGCTTGGCA